TAAAGTTTCTATAAAAATTAAATGAACAGTTCTACAGGATGCCCAGTAAAAAGCGGCAAAATTATTATCACTGTTTTATGTTTCACGAATAATTGACTTTGAATAAATTTCTTGAATATTCATGATCTTGAATAATCATTCGACTCTCTCGTAATTACTTAACTCTGATTGGTTCTTTTATGATTGATTAATTGCTGCTCGATCTTGTGACTCGTCATTTAAAGTTAATTTGCAGACAACTTTCGTCTTTCGTTCTGCTCTTCTCGTATGGCTAAACCACTCATTGATTTTGAGAGCCAGGTTATCGTACTTTTCAAAGAAGAACATCCGACGTGGGGTTTGACGAAATGTGGAGAAATTCTTCCTGAATTTTTCAGTCACATCAGTCGTCACCAGTTTTCAACGGTTGTCTCAAGTCTTTCTGAATTTACTGCTTTTTTATTGGGCAAAAAAATAAAATCAGAGTGTCGCGTCCACAAATAAAACACAATTTTTTATACAACACGAAGAAATGATCCTCGCAAAAAGGAAGAAATCAAGCTAAATATGACAGTAACATTTATACAACCAGATAAATGTATTAATTTACATATTAAAAAACAATATTCTTTGTTGTGGCCATGAAGTAGCCAATAGTTCGAAATGATTTGTCGCAAGTGAGTCTGCAAAGTTTCAAAGTGTTTTTGGTACAAATGACGAAATCAAGTGGTATGGTACGCCAATATGTGTGTGCGTGTGTGTGTGTGTGTGTGTAAAGCACACGCTAATAAAACATTGTGCGACTGCTGACTGCGTACGGTAGCTGTAATTTTAAAACACAGTGAATAGAGAGGGGGGAGACAAGACTTACTTTCGTCGTGGCGTTGTATGCAGAAGAATCATTGCTGCCAAACGCGTTGTCATGGTAGCGTGTGTCTAAGCTGTTGATCTTGGTTGGCCTGTTTCGCTGTCTTTCGCCCACTGTCCTCCACTGACTGTGTCGTTGCAAATCTGGTCCTAAGTGTTGCTGAAGAGCCGTTTTTATCGCTATTGGTCGGCTCCGAATTGCTATCTGAGTTTTGCGCGCGAATGTACTCAGTAACTCGAACTCTGACCTATTTCCAGATCATTTGAGTTCAACCGCGCGGACGTAGTAGAGAGCATATCACGTGACTTGTCATATTATAGGTTCCAGAAATTACTTAAATAATTTGGAGCCGTGTTTGTACAGAATTGTAAAAAAAAGTTTTTCGTATCTAGTGAATTTAGTAAGATTTATTTGTAGGCATCTCTTGTTTTTGTTTCACTTATTGGCCGTAAAATATAGAAGTTTATATCCTGTAGCACCCTGTATGTATCGTGTTCCTTCAAGATATGTGCGTTCATGGCTCTCCACTATTTCTTATCTATTGTAACGCTTACCGGTGTTTTTCTTTTTACTATCCCTCCCACTCCATGTTATATCCATTTACACCAGCTCGTTAGGTGGGTTACAGTCTGTTTCCAGGGCCGGATCATGATGGAACCACCCTCTAATCCATCTGCACCAGTCTTTAGTATTTTTTACTCGTGATAAATTTTAGCGATATTTAGATAACTTGAAGTAAACTTGTTGCAAATTCTTTAAATAAACTAGAATTCCTTTCTTTTGTTTGTCAGTATTTAAGATATACCACTATTTTACTATTTATTGCAAACCAAGGAGTAAAGTCAACAGTCTCGTGAACCGACAAGAATCTCTCCCCGCCAAGATTAAGCGTCGGAAGACGTCATGATTTTGGTCACGTCACACTGCATAACAGCCCTTGCAAGACCATAATGCAAAGCACTGTTGAAGGCGGACGCAAACGGGGGCGGCAACGCAAGAGCTCGTCAAGACAACACCAAAAATGAACGGACATAGCAATGTCGGAAGTCCTGAAACCCATCAAAAACATATAGTCTTTAGCCCTTATGTCCCCCGACGATTGAAGCAGTCAAGGGATTGATGATGATGATGATGATGATGATGAAGATATTAGCACATTTTCAACACAACCATAGGAAAAAATTATGAGCAGCAATATGACTATAAAACAGTTCAAATAAATGTGAGTTTGTCATATTGATTAGTTAGTTTATGAATCTATTTAGAGGTTATAATATCTAGAAAATTAAAATCACTGCTTTATAAAAATTTCTTATGTTTTCTTACATATCTACAAGTCTACCATACATCCATACATAGAATATTGCTTCCACATACCGACGGTATCAATGGCTGCTTGGTCAATAAATACTGGGTGTTTCCTTATAAAGAAACGGCTAATATTACCATTTTACTAGCTACCGCCAAAATGAATGCATTTTTTTCGGAATTCAAAGCAAAAAATCGCTACCCACTGTTTTAAAATATTTGCCAAAAATCAGAGAATTAAATTAACCAATTCAAACGAAATTTTTAGTACTTATGAATTATATGCTAAACTCAAAAGTATTGTTGCGGAGGAGTAGCTTATTAGGAAAAATATGAATATATATCAGAAGATATTATTTAATTTAATTATTTGTGTTCGTTGCGTGAAAATAAACTTCTCCACAAACATTTAACTTTGGGTATGGCACAAGGCTATCAAATCCAAAATATAAAACAACGATGTTTTTCCTAGAAATAACAAAACATATTTTATATCAACAACAAAAATGAAGAATGAATTTACTCAGGTAATTTAACCTGAGTTGCAAATTGTTACAAAGTGTATTCTATGTAGCATTTATAATTAATAATATAGCAGGAATTATCTACCTTTAACTTGAAATTCTTAAAGCTTTTAAGAGAAAATATTTTTATCTGAACTCCCATAAAAGATTTCAGTTCATGAAATGATATTCAGTCTCAATGAAAGAAATGTTCAAAGTTGCTTTTTGAATAAAATCTTTGTTTAGTAAAGTGTATGTTCTTTGATTAGAATTCTTGTTGTCTCGATAAAAATCGTAGATATTAAAATTGAAGTGTAGTTTGTTGGTGAGTGAGGGAATTCAAAGTTTGGGATTATGTCAGGAAATTTAACTTCAAACATTTGAACGGCGTGAATTTGTTTGGCGAATTGTTTGATGCCACAAAGCTCACTGTTAGAAGTTGATAAGTGTCTTTATAGTTGAAGGAATGAATGAGATGAGTTAAGAGATGTGCAATGTTCATACGTACGTGTGTGCGTGTGTTAGCGTTTGTCATAGTGTCTTCATAGCGTTTCCCTAAATGGGACAAATGCGATTTCTCCACACTTACATCTTGTATGCGAAAGAAGGCAAAAGAGGAAGAATTGAAGATGTCGCTAAATATTTATAATGTTGCATGTCACGTGATAGACTCGAAACACAGATTTTTGGCAGTAAATTAATTTTAAACGTGCGGACATAGACGAAAGTATAGTATTAATTCACTAATCAGGAGTCAGAGAAATATCAAGGCTCTGTGATCCACTTTTTTTTACAGATTTTGTCGATCGTAGTAATGTTACGTAGAAAATGTATTGGAATCTTTTTTAACGAATGGAATTATTTAGATCACTAATAAAATATTATTAAACTGAAATAGAACACTAAAGTATCATTTAACTAAAAAAAAACGAAAAACTTCTAATGTAGAAACTAAAATTGAACTAAAATGATTAATTCTCCTAAACTTCATAAAATCGTATAGAATAAAAAATTATGTCCTTAAACTATTGGTTATATAAGATACTTTATTTTATAAGAAAGATACTTTATTTTTAAACATAAATACCAATGTCTTCTTTATTACACTGCTGGTGTTCTGTATTTCTTTAATTTTAATTTTTAATTTTTCCGCGCTTTTTAAATTAAGGGTATGATTATTTATTATGACATTTTAAAAAATTTTTTTTGACCTAACCCCATAGACTACCGTGCGTAAATAAGCGTTATTTTCATTAAGTTTTAAGTAAAAAGTAAACAATATTTTACAAAATTTAGTTAATTAATCCTTAAATTTACTAAATGATTTCGAAACTTATCCTTAGGATGAATATTCGATTTTTTTAGAGATTTTTAAATATGTTGTTCACATTTTTTGTCTATAATAGCGGGTCGATCAGTCGATGAGTGACAAGTGAACGTGCCATTGTTTTAAAAATGTCTGTAAAGTTTACTTATATACGAAAATTAATTTTTCTTTTAATTCGGATTAGTATTAGGTTATTTCCAATTAAGACAAAGTAGCATTTTAAAATTATTTTATTTTGCTTTTACTTTTTAAAGAAGTCTGTGGCGGTACCTCATCCCATCCTGGGTAAGACGATAAACTACAGCCAACAGCAAGCCTCTGATCAGGAGGTTTTGAGGGGCGTGAAACCACATCTTAATTGTGGGTGTTCCCAGGTCCACCCTGACCCAGGTGGTAGAACCTGTTAGAGCCCCAGCTATGGGCAAATAATTGGCCCCAAAACTGCGGTCAAAACACTATGAAAGTGTAAAAATAGGTAATACCAGCAATACATTTTTGTAAAATAATGAATTTTTGAAGAAAAAATTATTACTAGCAATACATTTTTAAAAAGATATTTGCCAGCATTAAAAATCTTGTCGGCATTAAATAACCCATTGAGGTTGATATGCTGTAAAATAAACCAAACCAGACCAAACCAAACGGTACCTCATCATTACCATTATCATGAGAGAAAGCTGTCAAAACAAGAAAAAAACTCCTAAAAAGCAGTGATTTTCGCATGAAGTACCCGGTGCATAGATATAAAAAATTTTCTGCATTAAGATCTGACTATATATTATATTTTACTATTGTGAGAAGGAAAATAAATAAAAATCAGCTTTCCTTATTTTTTTTTAAATTCTTTAATTTAATTTAAAATGTATTTCCTTCTAAATTTAAAAATAAAGTAGATTTCGAAGATTATTCGGATTAAGGGGAGATAACTCTTGTAAGATTTATCTCCCATGGCCTGTTGTTATGGCAGCGAAGTACACTATGAGTGCAACATCGCTGTAAAGAACTGAACGAGAAAATGTCTAATGGCAAGACTTTCCGATGTATCGTGGATCTTTATATAAAGGCGGTGAGTTTTTCGAAACCACTATCTGAAAAATGCTTGATCTGTGAGAAGGAAGGTGACATTTTTTCTTGCTTTTCCGAAACTACCGTTAAATGTCCAAATTCATAGCTTTTTTTATTTTTTATTTTTCCATTACATCAATTTCCAATTATATTTCTATTTTATGGAACCATAATAATTGTGTAATTTTTAGAAATTCGTTTCCCACTTAATAGGACGTTATTTTTACATTTGCGTTTTTTTTTCTCTGAAAAGACTGGTATGAAAGAAAAAAGAATTGTCTAAAAAATGGACGTGCCCACTCGTAAGAAATTGACTTAAATTAAACACTGGTCCACTCGTAAAAAATATGGAATATTTATTTAGGGAATCAATTTTTGTAGATTAGCATTCATTTAAAACTTTCATCAAGGTGTGAAATTTGTCAAAATCAAAAAATATTGAATTTTTTTATCATCTTGGAAGGTGGGAGAATCCTATTCATAACAACGATACAAAATCGATATCTAACTTTTAGCAGTTTTGCGTACGAATACAGACTACTTTTTACAAATAACATTTTTTTTTAATAAAGAGCAAACGAATACATATAGGTACCTCCACTAATTCGGTATACACAAGGATCAAAATGAATTTTTTAAAATGAAAAAGATTTCTTGAAGCTTTCATTTTAGCTTTAATTAAAAGCTAAGGGATTTAAAATTTACCATTTCCAGTCAGCAAAATACTCTGAGGTGTATTTCAAACAAGTTAGAATGGATTTTTTTATTTTATTAAAATCGATAAAAATCGGCCATTTTGACAGATTTGTAAACAAAAGTTATTTCTCGGTTTCAAAAATCTTGCAAAAATAAAATATATATTTCTGAAACGTTATTAGAGGAAAATTAGCAAATTTAAAGTTAAAGTAATCTGATTTGAAACAAATATTACTTATTTATAGATAAAAATGTTGTATGTAAGTATTTCTTAACCACATTTTTTTCTGACGTGTTAATCGTTTTATTGACAGCCGATTGACCGCCGAACGTATTCAAAGTTAAGTATGGTGGAGCAGATGATAAAGTTTATAAGGAGGGATAACCCATTAAACACGTGACCTTTTAATGATAGAATTATCTGTTTCTACACCCATACATAAGAAATTCTGCACGTAATCACACATACAAAAACAAATCGAAATTCTTTTTAAAATATTCGGGGCCGTCAGATTGTAATAATGTTTACAATATATGTTTAGTAAATATAGTTTTACTTAATAACAATATTTCATAAGAGTTATCACATTGAAACTGAATTTTAAAAGATTTTAAAATTCTATAAATTATTCAATTTAAAATTGTAAAAAATGAAAACAAATCTTGTAAAAAATCATTTTTCCTCGCAATTTATTTTTTTCAGACAATATTGTTTTTAGCATATATTATTCATAAAAGCAATTAAAAGCTTCTCTAATTAAATAATATCTTAGTTTTATTGCGTTTTTTATTTTTCGATTCAGACCAAATCTTCGGTAATATGGGGTCCGATTTTGTAAAAAAAAATTCGGTGATTTAAATTCTTCAAAGAATTCTACTTTTAACTAAATAGTCACTAAATATTATCAAATTTTCATAAAATTAATTAGGGACTGAAACACATCTAAAACAAAAATATTTTTACTAAGATTTTCTAATAAATTCCTTTGTGAACTAGTCCTTAAAATTTCATTAAAATCTGACAATTATTTGATTTTTGCAAGAATTTTCAAATTAAAGTCTCTGTCACCGCAAAGATGAGGCTAAAATTTGCTATGCTACAACAGCTAGAGAAACAATATTTAATCAAAATTTCGAATGTTCTAAAAAGGAGTAAAATATTTTTAATTAAATATTCAAAAAAAAAAAAAAAATACTTTGATCCTTCCTTTTAACAAAGATTTTGACGATAAAACTATATCTTCATTACGTTTGGATCATGTTTTTCTCACGCTATGCAAGTTTTTAGCGTTTTCGTGGAGGTATCTAAATTATGATATATATAACATTTTTAAATTAAAAGACAAATATTTACATAACTTGATAAAAGTATATCCGTTTATTTTTCATAAAACAAGAGTTCTCTCTCTAACTATTATTTTCTATTTCAAAGTTCACTGGAAGAAAGTTTATGAGAGTTTCTTGTAATAATTGTTCTCAGCAGATTTGCTGTGTAAGGAAAGATTATGTGAGTGCATAAGGAATGTTTTGCATGTGAGTGGTGATGTGAGTGAGAAGGTTGGCGTATGGTTTCAACTGCCGTGGATTCGTTTGGCAGCTGAGTTCTCACTAATTAGCTAAGAATATTTTTTGCTTATATAGGTGACCATAGGCTCCAAATCGCTGCGCGGGAAGAGTTATTCTTCACGTGCAGACGATCTGATTGGTTGGCATTGACCAATTACTGAGCAAGTTTTGGGGAGACTTAAGAAAGCTTCTGGGATCCGTTTCTCACAAAAGTGCACAAAATTGACTTCATGAAAATAGAGCGATTACAAAATTGTCGCAATGTTGCGATTTGTAAATTGTCTATAATAACATAGTGGTGATTTATTAACCAATGAATGCTTGTCGTTGTATGTGATTTGTATTTGTGTGTGTACGTATGTGTGTCCGATATAGATCGGCACAAAAATATTTGATATGTCTAAAAGTAAATATATACAAGCTTTAGAACTAAGCCATCATAAAGTAAATTTAGAGTATTTAGAAGTAAACGAAAATGATAGAAATAAGCAGAAACACCGTAAACACAATGTTATAGGGTTTAATTCACCTTTTAACCATAATGTCAAAACTAAGATCAGATTTTTTTAATGATAATTACGGTCTGTTTTTAATATATTACTATTAAATAAAAATTCATGATTTAATAAGAACAAGTAATCTCCCTTCAATTATATAGTTTTTAAAAAACAATATATGAATATTTACCACTCAAATATAATTTTTGAATTTTTCTATTTTACACACATACATATATAAATCCCATTTATATTAATCGCTAAATATAAGTTTAAATTTTTAAAATTAAAAAAATCTGTAATCCCAGCATAATATATAACTATGCCAACACTGTGATAACCAGATATATTATAATTCAAAATTGTGTAACAGTCAGTTTTATGCTCAGATTGCATCATGCATGAAACTCAGAGTCGTACTAGCGGTGAGGAAAAAAATATATATATATATAAGGGAGAAATTAAATTAAACGAAAGAAAGGTGTATATTTAAAAGAGAAAGGAGAACCCACAAATGTGTTTGGTTATAATGTGGATTTTTTATTCATTTAATTTTTAAAATATATATTGTACTTTATTTTCCATATTTTTTGCTACAGGTGTTTCAGGTCTTGTGACCATCATCAGGCAAAGAACGGTTATTTCCACATATTATTTAAAGGAATTAATTTTTTTTCTTTATGTTTTCCTACGTTTAACCATAGTTTTTGTTTGTGTGGTAGTAATCCAAATTCTTGGATTGGTGCAGAAAAAAAGTTCCTCTGCTTAAACGGTAATAAAACAATTAGTAGAGAAAAGTAGAAGAAAGACGCATACAAAAAAAAAAAACAGGCAAGATAATATGTCTAAATATAAATATTTTTAGGCTCTTAAAAAATACAATTTTCCAAAAACTGAAAATCATTGAGATATATAACATTGAGATAAATATACAGAAACTTTAGGTTTGAAAATACTACAAATTGAAAGCCGAAAAAAAACAAAAAAACAGAAAGGCGCTTTGGCAAAATTTACGTTTGCTTCTTCTGTGAGAAATAGCTCAGCTCATCCACATGTGACAGCCCAAAATAGCTTTTCCTTCTGGAAACTTACTTTTGTCTTCAGGACGAAATTTTCATGTCTTCTGACTTGTTCGTAATTTTCCTTATATTCTGATCGAAAATTATTATACCTTCTGGTTGAAATTTTTGTTACCTACTAATCTAAAATTATTAGACATTCTGGTTGCAATTTTTGTTAACTACTGATCTAAAATTATTATAACTTCTGGTCGGAATATTTGTTACCTGCCGGATGAAAAATATTATATCTTCTGGTCGAAAGTTTTGTTATCTTCTGGTCGAAAATGACATTACCTTATAAAATTATCCGCTGACTTGTCTTCTTATATATCCTCGAAGAGGCTACAGATGGATCTTAATTTTACATTCATGTAGGAGAAATCCACGCTTTTCATGAGACAATAAATACAATTTAAAAAGTGAAATCAGAGTCCAGCGATTCTTTTAGAGTCAATTCTAAATTTAGAAACTTTAGCAGACAAAAATATATCACATCAATTTTAATTTTTTATAAACCGCCTGGCTTTCTTTTAAATACACTTCTCCCAAAAGTAAGTGTAAAGAACAAACGTAGACTATTATATTTATTTATTTATTTATCTATACTTCTTTATTAATTATTACTTTTAATTGTTAAATTTTACTTACGAATCATTTTTGTTATAGAAGGCCTAATAAACGCGAATCTACAAAAATTATTTCTCATAGAAGATTTCCCTTTTTTATGTAAGTAGTTCCAGAAAATTTTTCAAGTAACTTTAAGCTTGGAATATAAAAGTAAAATTTTGACAAATGACGATAATTACTGTCACTTTGAGAAGTACTGTACAGTGTGTACATTTTGGATTCCGTTAGCATTTTTACATGTAGAATTCAACCGTCTTTTTTCTTTTACTTTAGTACATTCGCTACAGCCCTAAGAAGATAAGCAATAAACTTGTGACGAAGAGGTACTAATTTGTATTGGGTGAGGTTTCTGTTGGTCACAATTTTGTAGCGGGAAGTGAGCTACTTTGTAACGAATGCGGACGCGGTTGTTTAAGAATTGTGACGAAGGGGTTGAGAAGTTTCAAAAGAAACGAAGTCAACATTTTCAAAAGAATTTCAACAAATTCAAAATTAATGGACTTTTAAGTAATTGGAGGAGGTGTAGGAAATTTAGTTGTCCAGGTGTTTTTAAA